ATGTAAATGATAAATGAGGCCAATCCTATGCTTGGGGGGGGGGGCAGGCAGCTGAAAGTCTACAGGCTTCAGCAGAAGGGCCACCAGAGGGACCCTGGCACAAAGCACAGCTCTCTGCCACAGTCCCACCATCCATGATCTGCAGGCAGTGAAGGCCCAAATCCAGACACAGCTTCCTCTTCCCCCAGCATGATGCCAAACATGCCCTGAAACTATGCCAACCACTGCAGTTGAATGAACAATGAAAGGGTAGGGAGGAGAAGAGTCCACCTCCCACCCTGGCCACCACTAGCTCTCAGGGATTTGGATGTGGCATGTTGTCCCAAGTATTCACTCACTCATTCCCAGATGGACCCTTGTGCTCATCAGTAGCTGAAATAACTACCTATTCTTGTTTATACTGTCTTCCCTTCCCTTCCTTCTCCTCCACTGCCTCCCATGTCAGATTCTGCTCTGCAAGCCCTCTCATGTAGGAACCTGTCCATTAGGGCTTGCAAAGCACCGTTCACATTGAGGAAGATATGCAATAAAGGAAACATTAATATGAACACTTCTATTGGAAGCGAGTTTTCAATATTTCCCTTTTTAATCCCCCATTACACAATAATAAATCAAAAATAGCTTGCAAATACAAACAAACCCAAGTGTGCCCTTGAATCTCAACCCCGCCAATTAAATTTGCCAGGCCAATTAATCAACTAGAGCTTTATTATTTATTCATCCATTCATTCTGAAATTGACATCCTGCCAACCAGCTAGGAATGGCTCTCATGGTGGCTATCAATACATTAAAAGCATTTATAGCTAAACAATATTTTTAAAACTGTACTTTTAAGCAAACAGCAAGCTCGTCTACAGCTTCCTTGAAAGGCAACCATTTAGTTGATTAATCTACCAATTAAGTCAATTAAAGCTTGCAGCCCAGTTGTAAGCAACTGATGTTTTGGTGGGAGGACCAAGAACACGAATACATGAAGTTGTCTTATACAGGGTCAAACCACTGGTCAAGGCAGCCCAGATCTTCCTATTCTGACTAATGGGAGATTCCCCCACATTCTCGGGCTCAAGAGAAGTTTTTTCTTGTTCTCAATTAACCAACCACATACTTTATTAATTGTGCAATCCCGTACAAGTCTACTAAGGTTTCAGTCCTATTGAGTTCAATGGAGCTTACTGCCAGGTTAAGTGGGCAAATGATGGAAAGAAATCTTGAAGAGCAGTCAGACGCACAAACCATTTACTGAACTTCAAAAGCAGCTGGTGATAGAATCATGGCCTTTGACTTGACTTCAGAAGGCCAACTATTATAAAGTTTTGGAATGTAATGAACTTAATGACATTGTACACATTCTGCAAAACTGTAATATCCAACTTGATAAGCCAACCTGGCAAAGGCAATCAGCGGGGGGGGGGGGGGGAATCTAACAGCATCTTTACTATTCATCAGTTTGAAAGCAAGTTAGCATATAAAAGGTAACTTTAGATCAATGGTTCTCCAACTTAGATACCTGCTGTGTTTCTTTGCATTTAGCCTGCAAAATCTTCTTTTGCAGTTCAAGAAACAGCAACAAGACTATTCACACTTACAAGCAGTGAGAACTTCCTAATCAACACCACCATGTAAATGCCCCTATTTTCAGAAAGAGGAATTGGAAATTACTCTAGTTAAAACTCCCAAAGGTCATACTATGCAAATCAACCCTGGTGCACCTTCAATGCTAGAGGAACCAGCAGGGTTCTATTTCAGAAACAAGCATGTATGTAAACGGAAGCCATATTTGAGATTGAGACCAACACACACATTCAGGCTCCAGGTGGGAAACCAAAACCTTATTACAATAACTTCGATTCCATCACAGATGTATACATTACATTAGATCATTTAGTCACATAAATGGGCATCAAATTACTAAAAGTTACAATGTGCAATGTATACAAAATGGCAATGTCAAATCAATTGTAAAGTTTAAAAATTATATAGAAACAATTTGTTAATTACTGCTTTTTTAAAAAACAACAACTCAATGAGACTTCAATTACATAACCCAGATTCAGCTCCAGCAGTGCTTTAAAAACAAAGTTACATGCAACTTTCGGTAATTGCACCAAAACACAAAGAACTTCTAACTTTTTCTAATGAAGACTATGGGGAAGCAATTTCTGTGCTAGTACATTAACACAATCACCCCTTATCCAATATCAAATCCAACTGAATGCAATGAACACAGGTGAAATCTATATTTAGGTAAGGATTCCTGTTTATGCATGGATCCTCTCAACGGAATCAGGGGCTACATGTTAAAGATTATGGCCCTAATCATTTGATTGCTTACCAGGTATTAGTACTCTGAAACCATCCTGTTTCAAGTCAAAAATGTCATCCACACAGCAAGTGTACAATTAAGACTTTAAATGAAAACTCCCCACCAGCTCACTCAATAAGTGGCAAATTAGTTTTCTTAAAGAGCATGCAAAGAATTTAAATGAAGCTGATCTCAACTTCAAACAAATGCTGAAGAATTCTTTATATCCAATGCTTCTGAAAATTTAAGAACAGTTCACCATCATGAGACAGGCTATTCAAGACAAATATCTTTAAGAGCCTTTCAGAATTTCCTTGTGTCAAGTTAATAACCCTGAATTAAGGCAAGTACAGAGCAGAAGCTATTTTCATTCCAAAAACTTTACTAAAATTATTAAATTCAGCTTCAGAATTGGCCACAATGTTCATGCAAAAGGTAAGCAGGTAAATAGCTCAAGAGTGGGGAGACCTGTTTACTTCCAGATGCTGCTGGACTACAACTCCCATCATTCCTGACCACTGGCCATGGTGGCTGGGGCTGATGGGAGTTGGAGTTCAACAATACCTGGAGGACCACAGATTCTCTATACCTGAATTACCACTTTAGCAACAATAGTCAGCTACTTTTATTTCGCATACAAATGGATCCCGATTCAGTTTGAATACAGCTCTCCCTTTTTCTTTATTGGCTAGTCGTCATACTGCAGAATCTGGAGAGTTTTCTGAACAAGATGCACAATTTAATTTTAACCTACTTTATTTTCAGAGATGCAAGTGCCATGTATCCAGCACAGGTTGCTTTTAAAAGGTGTCTTTGTAGTTTCTTACAACCCCCTTTCTATATTTTGAAAGACTTTCTCCTACTTCCACAGCTAGCTATGCGGAGAAAAGCCTCTGGCGTCTCTCCAGCTTTAAACCAGTTACAATTTATTTTTGACAAATCCTATTGAAATCACTCAATCATATGAGCAGTATTTTTAGCCGAATGCAACAAACACTTTCAGGATTAGGGATGATGGAGAGACTCGTTTTTTTAATCATTCTCAAGCAAACTATTCCAGCTAAAAGGACAATATACCCAGATATCTGATGAGGGGGAGAGAGACTGGTCTGCTGTCTGTAGGCATTTGGATAGATAAAAATATAGGGGGGGGCTTTGTCAAATTAGTAGCTAATGCAAAATAATAATTTTTACTAGGAACTATTGATTTCACTGGATTGTAGGATGACAGCCTGGAGGGGGGTGTGGAAATTTTTCACTAGACGTCTCTTAAACACATTTCCTCACCGGAATTTTCTAGATTAAGCTTGTGTACATAGCCATGTCTCTCAACTTTTGTAGGTTGCCTGATACAATGACTAGCACAGAATGAGTAATATTAGCAGCGATGAACCTCAGCATGGGCCCAAACAGTATCACAAGCTTACCTGCAATTTGTAATGCATAATTCACACTGTTATGTAAAGAACTAGTGTGCTGTAATGGTTAAAGAGTTGGGACTAGGGCCTGGGAAACCAGGGTTCAAACAACCTTGATTTCCTTGGATAAAAGGTGGAATTAAAATGTAACAAAATGTGCAAATAAATACCTCTTACTGCCCTTCCAAAAAGAATAATATATTTTAAAGAAACCTAAAGCTATGGTACAAAAAAATAAAACAAAACATCTTAAGATATGTTTTTCCATTTGTAACTATCTAGCCAGCCAAAATACAAAACTAAAATATTAATTAGCATCATTCTGTCTGCTGGCAACAAGGAGTTTTAACTTGGCTATCTAATCCCAGCGCAGAGTGGCTTAAAGCAACCCTCTCCCAGCCCTCCAGAGAACAGAAGAAAGCACTGCAGTCTCCCAAAGTAGTTGTACAAAGGTAGCTTTCCCTGCTCTTTGGACCCAAGATAGCGGTCATTCGAAGGGGAGGCGATTGCAACATTCAAGACCTTCGCAAGCGCACATTATCTAAGGCCTGGTGGCAGCACAGGGCACTGGGGGGGGGGGGGACAGGGAATAAAGCCTGAGCCGCGAGGAGGAGGACTGCACTGAAACGTGGGTCCTCCTGGCAGTGACATAACCGAACCTGGCCACTGCAGTCTGGAAGCATCACGATTTTGGGAAGCGGGTGGAGGGCGAAGAAGAAGAAGAAAGGGGCAGGGAGAGCCAGGCTGGCTACTCAGATCTGGAGGTCCGTGCATGGAAAAGCAATGCGGAAGGCGCTTGTGGAAAGGAGCACCATCGGGGTGTTTGGAGGAGGGCTCCTCCTGAGCTGTTGCGGGAGCGGGCGAGGGAAATAAAAACAAAAAGGGCGCTGCGAACACAATAAGTAAAGTCTCCAGCAATGGAGCCTCCGGCGGCGTGTGCGCGGGGCCTGGCCGGCGCAATGTCGCCGCGCAGAGCGCAGACCCCCGCGCTCCAACCCGGGCGCAGATGGAGACCGCGCGCACGCGGCCACCGAGTCGGCTTTTGCTCTCTCCGCCGGGGTGGGCGCAGCGCAAGCGGAGCAGCAGCCCGATCCTCAGGAGCAGCGCACAGCCATTGGAGGGGAGGGGATGCGAGCAGGCTCCGTGGGGAGGCGCTAGGGAGAGAGGGAGCAAGGCAGCGGCGGACCGGGGCCGAGCAGGGGCTGTGTGCCTCGCAAGGAGAAACGGGGACAGGATCAGACCCTCCCCCCCAGCCCCCGTCTTTGTCTCCTCGGCTTACCCGCCAGCTCGTCCGGCTCCAGCCCGCTGTCGGCATCGATCCCGCACAGCACGAAGTAGTGCGCAAAGCGGCAGGGCGCCGAGCCCGAGCCGGGCCCGGGGGGCGCCGCGCTGCCGCTCATCCCTCCGCCGGCGTCCGCGATCTGTCTCGGGCAGGATCCCAAGCAGCAGGGGCAGCGCCGCTAACGCAGCAGCACCAGCAGCCGCGCTCCTTCCATGGCGCAAGTCCGCCCGGGTGGAGGCCTCCTTCGCCGAGGGGCGCACGGCCGAGCGGGAGGAAGACGAGGACGCGGCGCCGGCGGTACTGGCAACAGCAGTGGCAGCGGCGCCCCTCGGTCAGCTGAGGCTGCAGCCGGCGCTCGAGCCCTGCTAGGCACCGTCCCGCCGTCGCCTCTGCCGCCTCCCCCTGCCGGTCAGACGCTAAGCCGCGCCGCGGGAGGGAGAAGCAGCGCACCGGCCCGCTTCCGCCCCGCCTCCTCGGCGGGACATTTAAACCACGCTTGGCGCACGAAGCGAGGCTCGGCACCCCAAGGCCGGGATTGGTTTGGTTCTCAGCCGCCTCCCGAAACGCGTGAAATTTTGCTTGACGGACCACCTGAATTCTTTTCCTGCCTGTTGTAGCAATTGCAATGCGCTGTGCTAGATGCTGTAAGGTTTTTAATTGTATTTTTAGTGCCTCTCCTGTTTCTCTTCTTATTGCATTACCATTTGAATCCCATAGAATACAAGGTATAAGAAGGAATCGGAATACAATTTAAAATCATGAAGAATATTAACTACAGGCTTGCCATGGATCATCTGAGTGAAGCAAATACTGTATGCACAAGGAAGAGGTGAAGATGCACCGAGCTAACAAAACAAGAGTGGTCAAGAAGCCAAAGCAGAGAAAATGACTCCTGCTAAGCTGAGCAGAGGGACGCGGGTGGCGCTGCGGGTAAAAGCCTCAGCGCCTAGGGCTTGCCGATCGAAAGGTCGGCGGTTCGAATCCCCGCGGCGGGATGCGCTCCCGTTGCTCGGTCCCAGCGCTTGCCAACCTAGCAGTTCGAAAGCACCCCCGGGTGTAAGTAGATAAATAGGGACCGCTTACTGGCGGGAAGGTAAACGGCGTTTCCGTGTGTGCGGCTCTGGCTCACCAGAGCAGCGCTGGCCACGTGACCCGGAAGTGTCTCCGGACAGCGCTGGCCCTCGGCCTCTTGAGTGAGATGGGCGCACAACCCTAGAGTCTGTCAAGACTGGCCCATACGGGCAGGGGTACCTTTACCTTTTTAAGCTGAGCAGAAGCAGGGCAGATCCAGAAGGCCGGCAGGATGGCTCCTTCCCCACATATCTGTCCACCAAAAGTGGCAAGTGAAGCTCAGACAAATGCAGAGACATGAGAGAGAGACAGGCAGGCAGGCAAGATAAAAAGGCTGGAATGGATCTGCGGCTTTTGCCTGCAGAAAACTGCCCCCCATGGATCCATTCCAGCCTTTTTTTCTGCCTGCAGCTCACTTGATCCACTTGATCCCCTTCAATATATAAATAAAATTAGAGTATGTTTGGACACACTTGGCACACCCCATGAGCACACCTGGTACAGCCCAAAGGGTTGTTTAGGTGCAACATGATTTTAACGATGATCACACTTAGGAATAAAAAACTAAGGGTTTTGCATTCCAAAATAACCTTGGGTTACTCCCAATTACATTTCTGTACATCCTAGTACAAGAGTCAGAAACCTTTTTCAGCCTGAAGGCCACATTCCCTTCTAGATGTTGGAAGATGTTTGGTGATACCACAGGAAAAGGCACCGTTTCTTAATTCTAAGAGCATTATTTGGCTTGCTAAAGATTTTTAATCATGCTACTTAAGTAACCTTAGCAATGCCAGAATATCTCTGCTTTCTATGGCCAATCTTTTGTCTTGATTTGATCACTTAATCTCAGCAATTATCAAGTTAAGTGATTTGATCAAATCAAGACAAAAGATTTGTTTTCATACTGCATATTTTAATCAACTTACCAGTGCCAGGTTGTCTATGCTGTCTTCTTTTTTGCAAATGGTTCCCTGCCCTACTGTTAATACAATCATCTCAGCATTTGTTACCCATTTAGAAGGTTACTGTAAAATATTAAAGACACACCTATTCAACATATATAAATTTAAGCTTTAATTATCACTGACGGTAACTTTTGTATCCCATTGCCATTCAAATCCCACCTTACAATTTTCCCTTTATATGCCTGGCTGCTAAGATTTCACATAATGCATCTGATGAAGTGAGGTTGAATTTGTTAGTCTCTTAAAGCACTGCAAGGCTCTTTGCTAGTTTTTACTTTGCTCTGTAAGCCCTCTTGCAATAGGGCTGCCATTGAGGTCAGGGAAGAATGCACCTCCTCATACTGGATTGGTTGGTAGTCTGTTCTGTGGCTGTGTGTGGCAGTTCCCCTCCTATTTGTAGTCTGATGTATTTATAGGACTCCTTTAAGGGCTATCACAAGTTGCTGAACATCTACACCCTTGTTGTTGCCTACAGCTGTGTGAATTAGATTCTCTGCTATGTATTATTTCACAGTTTAGGACTAAATGCATGCAAACTGAGAGCAGTCTCTGGGAACTGGCTCATAGGCACATGTGTTCTGTTAAGTTGTGGGTGAATATATCAGAAAACACAGCGATTCTTCAAACAGCTCTTGTTTATTCACAGGCCAGGCCAGAACTGAACTGAAGGGTTCAGCCAGCCTGCTTATATAGAGCTCCACTACAATGCAACAATAACCACTTCCTATAACTATCCAATTACCAAACGTCACTTTCAATCCCTTATTTGCATATGTGGACCTGAGTGAAAACTATCTACAGTATCCCCCTGCTGGCCCAGGGTGAGAACTTCAGTACATAACATGTTCCAAAACTGTAAAGAGAATGGTGAACGCGGAAGAGGGAAACAGGTCTGGTGTGTGGTCAGGAAGACCTTAGGTATGTCAAATATGGGAGTGGAGCTTTGAACACAACCTCAAGCTACATTTAATGGCAAGACACATATTTGAATGTCTAAAAGGAGCACACCTAGAAAACACCTCTGTCTGAGACATAAGAAGAGCTTTACTAGATCAGGCCAAGGGTTCATATAATCCAACATATTGGCCTTATGGTGGCCAACCAAATGCCTATGGAAAGCCCATAAGCAGAAGCTGGATTCAACAACAAGTAGGAGGGGGGAGAAGAGGGAGGGGGGAAGAGGGAGAGAGAAACATGTAGGAGCAGTGGAGTTAAAGATGCTGGGGAGCAGCTGCAAGACCAGGCAGACAGGTCCTGAATTAGATTGACTTTTCATTTGATTCTGTCTGAATTTACTTCCAGGTGTAAAAAAAAAAGTAAACCCACTTAAGGAGAAGTGAGCACTACAGTATTGAACATATTGGGACTTACATTTGAATAAACATGCATAGGATTAGGCTAAAATCCAATGCACACTTATCTAAGAGTGGTAATGTTTAATTTAATTCTAAGTAAACCTCAGGTGTGCACTGAATGGCTCAATCAGTTCTAAGTAAACCACTGGATCAATCATTTGCACACTTAGGTTGGCCTGTTGCCTTACTTAAGTGGGTTGTATTTTGAGTAAATATGCAAAGCTCTCTTAGCTGTGTTAGTCACACGGCTCTTTGCATCCTGGCCCCTCTGAACAAGCCAATTTAAGCAGGGCCTCTTGTCTGAATCTAGTCACCATCTTTACAGGTATTTCAGATTGCAACATAACTAGAGTTGGGTGTTCTTCATAACAAGAGAGGAAGTATTTCATTTTTAAATATGAGTTTTTCTCAGCAAGAAAGTTGCCCCTGAAAAAAAAATTATTTCCAAGGGTTTTGGGCAGTGGCAGAGGGCGGGGGGTGCGGGGCGTCCCAGGTGTCGTCACTGGGGGGTGGGGTGGCAAAATGAGTTTTTTAAAAAAACATTGGGGTCATGAAACTTTTTAGGAGTGACGTGGTGGCTCAGGCACCTGCAGGTTCCGCACTGCCTAAAATGGAATGGGACCTGCGTCTGCCTACTGCCACTCCCTCAGCCGCCCTACAGCTGAGGGGGAGGTGGCGGAGAGACTCCAAGCATCGTTGGAGAGGCTCGCCCCCATGGGTGGCTTGCCCTGCCCCTGACTGCAGGACACGCCCCCGCACCAGGCACCCAAGCGGCTAGCTACACCACTGGTTTGGGGTATTTTCAGATTCACAAAGAACAGCATCAGAGGCTCTTGCACCTTTGTCAGGTATCAGGCACTCAGCCTTTCCTGTAACGGCACTGCCATCTTTCCCTGCTTAAAAAAGCCCTATCTATTTTGCACTGTTTTATGCTGCAGTGGCGTAGCGTGGGTTCTCAGCACCCGGGGCAAGGCAAGTAATTTGCGCCCCCTAACCCGTGGATTTGCGCCCCCTAACCTGTGGATTTGCGCCCCCTAACCCTGGATTTGCCCTAACCCCAGATGTTGCGCCCGGTGCGGCCGGCCCCCCCTGCACCCCCCACGCTACGCCACTGTTATGCTGTCACTTTTGGTTTTAATGTTGCTGATGAATATGAAGCTGCTTTATACCAGGACATCCTATTGTCTATTTAGCTCAGCATTGTTTGCTCCAGCTGGAAGTTGCTGCCAAAGTTTCTACAGAGATGTTTTCCACCATCTTTCCTATGCAAAGGATGTATTCTTTCATGGTGCTTTAACCATGCTGAAGGAAGAGAGCAGGGGCTTGGCTGGAGACTGATGTATTTTAAAGTCAGTCTCATTCTTGCCATAATTGCAATATACTGTATATATTTTTCTTTTGAAAATAATAATAATAATAATAATAATAATAATAATAATAATGGGGTATAGATAATTTTGCAAACAGGAAAGGGAATGTGCTCAGTTAACTAACACACACAAAAATGCATGTTTACTTTGGAGCAAGTTACACTATGTCCAAAGCGGTTTGCTTCCTGTCACATCTGTTTAGAATTGCAGCCTAGTTTTGGGATTGCACCTCTGGAACTAGAAAATAATAGCATAGCTACTTACTGCTCAACTCTATTTTGGCAGCATCATCTTTTGTATTATAAATTAACATCCACTCCTGGATTAACCTTTTGCCTGCAGTAATTATCAGCTCCATTCAAACACTCATCTTTGATTCATGGCCAGTTCTTGGACAGATGGAATAAGAAGGTTCAGCTATAGAGACATTTTTTAACCCAATTAATTGCCTTTTTTATTGCAATGACTTATTCCCCCCTTTGAATTTTCAGTTCTAGCTTCCTGCATTAATAACAGCATTTTTCCTTAATCTCCTCTGAAGCCTTTACCTTTCAGAAGCTGCCAGCCTAAATTGGGTCAACAGCTGACACATATATTAAAGTCTTTTTGGTTTTGCCATAAAGGATCAGACCATTTGTCAATC